AAAATAAATGACGAGCATCAGGAACCCGTAATGTCTAATGTATGTACCAAGTTTGAACGAAATCCACCCATAAATGCTTGATATTTGATGATTTTTTAGCACAAAAATGACCACCATTCGGCCATTTTGAATAGGATAGTCAAACTAATATATCTGTTTATCTATGACATGATGTATAATGAATATTTAAAATTTGAAAATATTATCAGTCAAAACAAGTCAGAGATATGGGTCTAGAAGCCCATTCATTAAAACAAAATGGTCGCCAGACAGCCATTTTGAATCCGATCTGAAAAATAAATGATGTGCATCAGGAACCTGTAATGTCTAATATATGTACCAAGTTTGAACGAAATCCATCCATAAATGCTTGATATTTGATGATTGTTTAGCACAAAAAAGGCCACCATTTGGCCATTTTGAATAGGATCGTCAAATCAGTATATCTGTGTATATCTATGACATGATTTATAATGAATATTTAAAATTGAACATAATCAGTGAAAGCAAGTCAGAGATATGGCACGAGAACCACATTCATTAATACAAAATGGCCGCCAGTCGGCAATTTTGAATCTTATCTGAAAAACAAAATTATTTGCATCAAGGTCCCATAATGTCTAATGTATATACCAAGTTTGAACAAAATCCATCTGTAAACAGCCGAGAAATGGTTGATTTTTAGGATTTTTTAGCACAAAAATGGCCGCCATTCGGCCATCTTGAATCAGATCATGAAACAAATTGACGTGCACATGTATAATATCATGTATGATGTATGTGTGAAGTTTGATTGTGATTGGTCCAGGCATTTCTAAGATACAGGTCCGGACGCACGCACAGACTCATGCACGCACGCACGCACACACGGAGGTTAAAACATAAGTCCCCGTTTTCGGACTGCGTCCAAACAGGGACTAAAAAAACAAGATGCCTGCCAGTCGACCATCTTTGATCCAATTGCGAAATAAATCGTCATGAACATGTATCCTAACATGTATAATATATGTACCAAGTTTGAATGACAACTGACAAAGCATGTCCAAAATACAACATTTTCAAAAAACAAGATGGCTGCCAGTCGGCCATTTTGAATTGAATCGCTCAACCACTGTATGTCCATATGTCCCACGTAAGGTGCTAGGCACATGCAAAGAATGAAGGGAATCGGTCAACAGGATTCTGAAATATGACTTTGGACAGACTGACGCATGGACGGACGGACGGACAGACAGACTCAGAAACTCATGGACGGTCAGGACATGTATTCTAACATGTATGATCTATGTACTAAATTTGAATGAAAACTGCCAAAGCATGTCCAAAATATGACATTTTCAAAAAACAAGATGGCTGCCAGTCGGCCATCTTTGATCCAATTGTGAAATAAATCGTCATGGACATGTATCCTAACATGTATAATCTATGTACCAAGTTTGAATGAAAACTGACAAAGCATGTCCAAAATACAACATTTTCAAAAAACAAGATGGCTGCCAGTCGGCCATTTTGAATCGAATCGCTCAACCACTGCATGTGCATATGTCCCACATAAGGTGCTAGGCACATGCAAAGAATGAAGGGAATCGGTCAACAGGATTCTGAAATATGACTTTGGACAGACTGACGCATGGACGGACGGACGGACGGACGGACGGACACACGGACAGACAGACTCAGAAACTCATGGACGGTCAGGACATGTATTCTAACATGTATGATCTATGTACTAAATTTGAATGAAAACTGACAAAGCATGTCCAAAATATGACATTTTCAAAAAACAAGATGGCTGCCAGTCGGCCATCTTTGATCCAATTGTGAAATAAATCGTCATGGACATGTATCCTAACATGTATAATCTATGTACCAAGTTTGAATGAAAACTGACAAAGCATGTCCAAAATACAACATTTTCAAAAAACAAGATGGCTGCCAGTCGGCCATTTTGAATTGAATCGCTAAGCCACTGCATGTGCATATGTCCCACATAAAGTACTAGGCACATGCAAAGAATGAACGAAATCGGTGCAAGGGATTCTGAGATATAACTCCGGACGGACGCACGGATGCATGGACACACGGACGCACAGACACATGGACGGACGGAGACCGAATTATAAGTCCCCGTTTTCGGACTTCGTCCGAACAGGGACTAATAAGCACTGCTATGTTTTTACATGTTTACCTGTGGAGAGGCTTAGATGAAGAGTATATTTGAATGGTGTCTAATCAGATTATTTGTAGATTTGGGATGATGCATCACATTGCGACATTGCTGGAAAGTGACACATGGAAAGATCAATTTCAGTTTATCATCTGCTATGTGGATTCACATCTGTAATTACATGATCCCTAAGGCATGATATTGGCAGATATAGGGACTATGATTTTACTGAGAATACACAAAAAATGGAGATTCTTGAAATCCTGGTGTCTGATTGTCATAAAATCGATGCGTGGTCAACATGAACTATTCATTTCTTACTTTAAAATGTAAAAATAAATATCCCAAAGGTGTGGTGGAATAGATAATAATCATTCATGTCAATCGCTAACTTTATTCCGTTCAAAGTGTTAACATGTTGGAGGTTATCCAACATTTAATGGCGACCTCAGTTATAATGGATGACAGAAAATAAACTAATAATTGTTTCCGGTGTGGTTAACAGTGGGTAATATAACCACATATGACGTTGTAACCTAGAGATTACCGGGTAAATCAAATCAACTGACTTTCAGCGAATCACTGATGTTGTAACAACACGTATTTGATGCAAATCGACAATCTAACCTCTGTTTGAAAACAACATGTACTTGCATTTTTGCAACTGCCAGTCACATCATGTTTTCTTTTTAAGTGAAATTTATTCGATGTAGTTGTTGCAAAATAAGGTAAACGACGATAATTTCGTAACTGCCAGTAGCAAAGGTGAACCATAAAAATTTGAGCGACCAGTCAAAAATCATATTAATGCTGACCACATATCATGTATTTTTTTGAAAACCAAAACAACTAAACCAAAACTTGGTTATATTTTCCCAAAGCTCCTGTCCGCTATTTTCACGTACATGTACATATTTTTATTCACGAGCAAGCCATTTTACAGATGTACTAGTATACTCATATGTAAATGTGTAATTGAGGTCATCCTTTTGTAATTTTGATTACAAAACTTCCAGTGTATAATAACACTGCAATGCTGTAGCGGCACTGAAGCAAAGCAAATGCAAACAGCAATAATGCTGTTGACTTTTGTTTAACTATGCATCCTGAAGTCAAATAAGCCAAAGCCTATGTGACAGTGTGGCTCAAGTCTCAGTTCCTGGATATTCATTTTAATGTGCTTCACTGGAACTACATACATGTACAATAGTTGGGACATTTACATGGACTTTAACACTGAATGTATCCAAAAAATTTCAGTCAGAATTTGTTTCTGGAAATCTTGGTTTAGTCATTTTGACAAGGTCTGGTAATTAGTCTGTCACAAAACATTTATGTGAACAAATGACTAGCTAGTATTGTTATGCTCAAATGTGTTTTTATATATATACAGAATTCAAATGATATATGGTAATGTCAGATTTTCTGATCATTTTCACTATATCCTAAATCTATTTAATACAATGCCATGAATAATTAGTGAATCACAATGCAACTTTCAAACTTTGTATCATGTGTTAGAAAATTGAGCAAAAATACAAATATGTATACTTAGATATACCCAGAAAATTTAAATAGATAATACATAGGGGTGACAAAAACATAGTCTTACACTTACCTTTGAAGATTGAGGAGTCAGCATCTGAGTATCATCAATATTACCAGCTTCAGAGCAACGTGGTGAGGCAGATATTGGTGGTGATTCTGGTTGAATCAAGTCTTCACCAAAGTATTCGGCTGCATCAATAGCAGTTTCAGTGTCAGTATTTGAAGTAGGATTAGGGATAGGGCTACCTAGGGAAATGTAAATTAAACATGCTCCCATTTTTACTATACCTTGAGCCAAGTTACTAAGAACACCAAGTGCTATATAATTTATCATTAGCTACAATATACAGTGGGTTTTGGGGCACCAGAATACCATAGAATCACGCCAATTGAGAACTTTGGTAATAAACATTAACCCCTTGAAAGCCAATTTGTTACCCCCCCCCCCCCCAAAAAAAAAAAAAAACTTATTTTCTTCTGATTTTTTTTAAAAACACCAACAAAATCTGTTGCTATTAAATGAAAAATTTGCCCATTTGTTCAAAAACTGACAAAGGAAATTATACATACAAATTTTCCATATGTTGTTATTGTATTTGGGTAGGAAATCATTTGGCATTCAAAGAGTCAATGACCTATACACCATTATATGAAACAGATCAATATTTGTTTTCAGGTAATGGAATGGAGAGTGTTCTGTTTGATCTAAGACATGTGATAGAATATACACATCCTGTGTGATGTAGACAGGTGAATGAAAAGTCTGTCATATTACCTATCTGTGATAATAATAATAATGATTTTGAGAGATTTTACAGTAATTGCTTCAATATAGATGCTCATAAACTAAAATTGCATTTATTGCATGCTTTATTATTGAAATCTGACTTAATTTGACCACAGACACACCTCAGTCACTTACGGTACATAAGTGCATGCAAATAAATGTAACCTGCTATGTCAAAACTCAATTCAGAATGACAATCACCCAATTACAACAAATATGACATGAGATGGTCCTCTAGCATGTCACTCAATAAGTTAATGATAATAATAAAAACAAATTGTTATTAACACACACAAAAAATCAAGTTAAGGTAGCGAGAAGGTTTTGTGACGTTCTTAAATAAAACATTCTCTGTCTGTTGTCTCGTTCAGAACAGTAATTTAGGTTATATATATCAAAAGACTAAGTATAGAGGTGCAAGTTCGCACAAACTGGACAGACATTGTTTACATAATTATCACGTGACATCAAAAATGGCGAACCTTGTAAAAATGACTAAGTCCGCGATTGCGAGAGCACACTGCGGAATTTCCTGGTGAAATTTACGTCATGTATTGTCCGTAATCAAGTCCATTGAAATGCGTCTCCGATAATCAAAAGACCTATTATTCCGATTTCTATGCAGGTTTGTTTTTTTGTCCCCAAATTATTTCATACTTGGCACCTTTAACAGACTATTATTCTGTGACAAAGCATTTTCCTTAAAAACCCAGACATATTCCGCACCATCATTATCTTTTGAACGATAACTGCGAGTTTGAATGTCCTAGTCCGAACGCACATGATTTGGCGGCGGTCCCAATGAGTCGTACTCGATCAAAACTTCAACTCGAGAAAAACGCGAAAAACAGTTTTGGTTAATAAAACACTGTAGATTTGCTGCATTATTATAAATATACACTAAAAATGGCCAAACATATTAACCACTGATATCATAGAACTCATAAAGAGTGTCAGATAACGAATAATTTCAAGCTCGAGCGTGAAAAATGAAGAAAACTGCTGGCATTTGAGTCCGTACTCCAGGAACCTTCGGGTTTTCCATTGTTATGCAAACGAACAACGAGGGATAATCCTCTGACAAACATTACTGTCCCACTGTACACGCTGACAGTTTACAAACAAGCTAATCCTTCAAGTGTCTCTGATAGACATTTAAAAACGGTTTTCATGGTGAAACAAATGGCCGATGTTTGAAAAAAA